ACAATCGTGATCATTATAACTACAAATTGACTGTCATGACATTAAAAGACTTCCCATTCAGTTTTATGCAATCAAATGAAAGAGATCCTTACTCTAGAATTTTGTAAATTCATTGCTAGTTTGTATAAATTGCCACTCGTCATCTTCCAATTGTCGCACAGCTTTGCGTAATAAGGCTATGTTTTGCTTCAAAGGATCTATATGACTAGAAATAATAAATATAAATGCCTTTACTTAAACTATTCTTCATTATAAATGTTTATTGCATACCATTCTCAACTTGGTCTTGAATAGTTTCATTCTCATCATCACAATAATCGTCCTGATCTTCTAAATTATTGACATTAATTTGATTATCTTGATCCATGCTTGATGATTCTATGTTTATTGGCTCTAGATAAATGCCTTGGAAATTTCATTGAGTTGTCAGTTTTAGTAGGTTTTAGTAGTTATAGAAGTGCTTATTATTTAGATTCAAACGAAAGCTATATAAAATAAACCTGTCGAATCTTCTAATTCTTCTATATTTGCAATCGGTGAATCATTTATTCCAGGTATTTGTATTTCTTGCGTTTCTTGTGGCGAGGGACTCGAGGAACTAAGCGCTGGTGAAGTGGACGAACTATCAAATATTACATTATAAGGCCTTGGTCTATCGCTATCACTGTCGCTTTCATAGTTTGGAAATGCGTTTACGAAATTCGGGTTGGTTGGTACTGGCGGTCGAATCGTTACTGGTCGCCAAGGTGTTCCGGAAGGTTGTGATATTCGGTTCCCTCGATTAGTATACATTACAGAGACGTTGTTGATCAAGGTTCTAATGTAATTGGTCATCACATGCATATTAAATATCATATGTTCACGTAGATCGCGTGTATATCAGATATTATTGCAATCATGTATCGTGTTTATCTCTATCTACATGATGTAACATATGATCTTCCCTTTACATAAATTTGTCTTAGAATTAATAGAGTTAGTACGTATTCGTTTATTTGATCTAGCCTAATATTGGTTTAGATTTTATAAAAGTAAATTCCGGTTTAATATTGTATTACATGTCTTAATCTTTTAAT